AACGAGCGAAGCGAATAGGATGGATGCAACGAACATCAAACACTGCACCCCTTCTTTGTGCTCCTCGTGTTTCTTGAAGGCACGCACACCACCAGCAATGGCGACGACCCCTGTAGCCAAACCACCGGCGATATATTCCATGAAGAGAGTTTGACCCAACTGTGTTCTGTCACCCGCCTCAAGTTCCTTCCTGTGCTATTCATCATCTAACCAAACTTTCTTCTCCACGGCGTGGGGTGCCATTGTCTTATGATGGTTTCGCTCAACCCGTCAGTGGCAGCTGGTCATGGAGGATTGGCCTTGGGTTGCCTTCGGCTCCGGGGAGTATACGTGCGTCTGCGAGCTTGGGACCTAGGTCAACGTCAGGTGGTGCGACTGCGATGGGCATGGGAAGGACTCCTAGTACGGACGAACATGAAGGACTGACGCGAGCTTTCCGCCTACTCCGAACACTGCGATTAGTACCAATGGAAATGGGAGTGGGGATATAAGCTGTCTGCCGAAGAGACCGACACCTGTTGGGCCTAAGAGGGACGGTTGACGAGGATGGGGAAGAGCCGATATTGGGTACTACTACCATCCTGTAGATATATGTATTGGGCTCCTTCTCGCTTTGAAGATCTTCATTGAAAACATGGATACAACATGTATGCAAACGAACAACACTGGAACGAACGAACGAAAGACAAAAGCAGAAAACACAGAAGACAAAACACAACCCGCAAACCACCACTCAACGCACAACGCACAAAACCAACTTCCTCACTCGCACCAACAACAATCAATCCTCAATCCCAATCATCCTCCTAACCAACAAATCCAGCTTCCTCGTCCTCAACAACCCCTCCAACCTCAACACCATCTCATCCTTCGTCCCACCCACCACAATAGCCGGGTTTCTCTCCGCATGAGCAGACAAATTACGCCGAAGTGCAGCGCACGATAAGGCGCTGCACGCCTCTGGGTCCGTTATCAACGGGGACGAAGGGTACAGGAGGTACGCTTTCGGTATATCTTTCAAACAATCCAATCAGTATCAGAACGTTGTGAAAGAGAAACTCATACATACTATCAATATAATCCTCACACCCCCACGGAACCTCAATATCCACAATCCACTCCTCCTCATCGACCCTCTTCGCCAACGTCCTCAACCCGTTCATGTCGATGCTCGTATCTGCGATGGAGAGGTAACACAGTTTGGAGAGGAGAAGGAATGGCGGGTACGGATGTACTGTCGATGTCGGGGTTGGTGGCGAGCGTTAGTTGGGTTAGGGTGTGTTTGAGTGGGATGAGGAGGTATACACTGCGTGTCGAGTGATGGTGGGTAAGTGAAGAGGGGGTGAGAGGGAGGAGGGAAAAGAAGACAAGACTTACGCCTCGTTTCCTATCCCTGTATTGTTCAGAAAGAGAACGGAAAGCTTGGGGAGGCGGTGGATGTGGATGATGTCGAAGTCGCGTACGCGTGTTCCACTGAATGAAAGTTCGGTTAGGGAGAGGAAAGTGTTGGGGGTGCTGGATGTTGTGTGAATGAAGAGGGATCAACGACGCAACATGGAAGGCAGAGGGAGTAAAGGGCAAGAACATACTCGGAAACAGGTCCTTGCCGCATAAATTGAGCCCATTCTCATCAAAAAGGGAGTTTACGAGGGATATACGCTCCACGTCGGTGGTACGCAGAATGTCGAGGATGCGGCCGTTAATCTTAATGTGTCCTTTAACCAATCAAATAAAGTGAGATATATGCGGAGTAGTGAGGAAATACCGTGGTCTGAAAGGAAATCCGTGATAGCTTGATGTGAAGCGTCCTTGATGTTCTTCAGTCGTTCGAATAATCGAATTCCAGGTATAGATCCTTGATGAGCTTATCCAAGTCGGGTTTGGTCAAAGGTTTCGGATGGTCTTTAGGTCCAGGTTTTCTAGCAGGAGAAGAGGCGATAAGATACGTGAGAGGTTCCCTGTTGTTGTGAGTGATGTCGAATTTCGTAGAGGCGTTATACGTAGCCTGAGACTCGGCCGATCTGGAGTACTTGAGTGGGCCTTGGAGGTCGCTGAAGGATGATAAACGTCTGCGTTTCAATACCAGCGTTTCAATAGAGCTATGGCCATCGTGTTTCCGAGTACTGTTTCGTTCCAGATCGTTGACAAAGGCAGAGTACGGAGGAGGCAACAGAGGGTTCAAGACACCAGGATCGATAGCCCGAGCATGAGATACATATCTGCCGACAATCCAGTCCACGTCGTCGTCAACGTCACTTTCCAAGGTAGACTGGTCGAGGGTCCTAGCAAAGGAAATGAAGAGTTCTTGACCGCGTCGCCTAGTAATACTAATAGAAGTGGGTCTGTGAATCCGAACGCGGTGTCGCAGAGAGCTGAGAGAGATAGGTATTCGTAACTGAGCCCATTGTCGTCATAAAGGGTTCCTCTTTGACCTTGCACCATCGCCGGCACCCTCAAATGGTAACCCTCACAGACCTCCCTCACTCACTAGAACCAAGCAGGAAGATGACCTGGTCTGTCCATACACCCTACGTCGACCGTCCACCCATTACACGGTTGTGTTAGATCAACTTCTGCTCACCACGGGATCCACGACGAAGAGCTACCACGAGGACCTGCCCAAGATCTTGATGTCAATGAACGGCGGTAGCCCGGGTGAGCTGAACGGTGAGGTGGCACGCAGTGTTGCATGAAAAGGCCGAGGAGGACTGGACACGTTCCGTGGCATGAGTGAATAATGACGATGGACCTTGGGTGAATGATAAGTGGCGGAAAAATTGGTTGGATCGGATGGAGAGGCAAGAGTGAGTTGTTTTTCACGCCTTTTCTTTGTTCCAGACTTATNAATGTTGGGAGAGTACAGATACTATCACTACCCAGACCCGCTCCACCACCTCCAGCACCTTTGAAATTGCCGAAGAAACGCAAGCGGTCTGTTCGTCCGCAGCCGGTTGCCCCCCTTCTCACCTTGAAACACAGTCTGGAAGTCTTCATGGACAAACTGTCAGTTAGTTGCCCGCATTGACTTGTCACGCAACTTGTGCGAGAAAAAGGACGCACGCAACTGGGTGCAGAATATCTACAAAGACATTATCGAGCCTCAGTACGTTTCGTGTCCCATTGCAGATCAATATACACTGATTCTGGGCCTCAAAATCAGGCGGTAATGTGCCACCCTCCGGTCCAAAGTCTTCGCGCAGCCCTTGTCAGATCGCGCATCGTCCTCAGCCACTGAACGATCCACCTCTGCTGAAACGGCTGGCCCTCCCCGAATACTATCCCCCGCCCCATCTACTTCCAGACAGCATTTCCCCGGTACTTTCCATGACCTCAGGCCGCAGTGACACAACGAAACCACACGAGGCTGCATTGGCTCGTTCTCGCTCCCTGTCCATCCCTCTCGAGCGAGAACGAAGACGGAAAGAACGCGCGGGGAGCGTGGGGTCGATAAGAAACGTGTGTGAAACAGAGAGGTTAGCATGTCGCGCGTGTCAAGCCCATGCCCAATATGCAACGGACGAAGAGCAAGAAGGAGTTAGCGGTTGGGAAAGGAGAGGAGAAGGCGGTTGGGAAGACGACCGACCTCGAGGGACGTGGGTGCGGCTTTTGTGGAAGAAATGCCTGCTGAGCTGCGTGCGAGGCCTTCTTCGCTGTCTCAAGTGTAATGCCAGGTGGATTCACAATCGAAAGGGGGTCAACGACTGGCGACTGGTTGGTCTTCTTCGTCTTCGTATTGGGCTAGGGACCTATTCGGTTTTGGGAGGTCCAAGATGGACGATGAGGAGACCTTGGAAGACCCGGAGGAGATCTAGCAACTGCATAGTTTGCCGGACGTTCTACTGCTGAATCCCGAGCCGAGGAATGTGTTGACAGACAGCACAGCAGTGGCAACGCGCTTTCAATCTGTGCATCATATTTTCCTTTGCATCTCTCGCTGGCGATTCTCCCCAAAAGCAATAGCTTTTGCCTATTTTGTCGTCGTTGGAAGGTCAACTCTATATTTTGGACTCACCCGGTGCCGTTGTTCTGCTGTACATTGTGCCAAAACAAGCCAATCGCATCGCCATCTGGGTTCTTTGATTGTTGACATTCACTCGCACATTGCGCAAGACTCGCCAATCACCAAAATTATGAAGATATTCTTCCCTCAACGAAGGCCCATCAACCAGAGGCAAGACGAGGACCAGCATAGTTTATACTTTTGGCTTGCAAGGCTCTCAACATTGCCTTGCTTCGCCAGTTGAACGTCTTTGGCGCGGTGGTGCGAACTACGAGAATCTTCTCTCGTGCCGGCGGGCCAAGTACGTTCTGTGCACTCGTGTTGGATTGTCAGACTTTCGGAACTCGGCATGTATCGTGTCTTTTTTTCCTTTTTTTCTGGTACTCATGCTCATTGAATTTGTTTCCTATCAGGTACAGGTACGTCAAGCGCTGATATGATGCCCACAAAGCTAGGAACTTCGGTGGCCATAGGGGCTTATGT